GCGCCCATAGCCTGTGCTGCATCTGCAACAGCAGATGCTCTCCGTACCTGCACTGTCTGCAGCAGTGGCCTGTAGGCAGCTGCCTTCTCGCTGCAGAAACCCCTAAGCTGCTGCTGCTGCTGTTGCTGCTGTTGCTGCTGTTGCTGTTGCTGCTGTTGGCGATTGCCTGTCTGTGGGCGCCACGCCTGTCTGTCTTCTTGGCGTTCGTTACTGTGGTCTCGGCAACGCCACAGTTCATCCTGACTGTGCTGCTGCTGCTGCTGCTTCTGCTTCTGCTGCTGCTGCTGCTGCAGCGGGGCGGAGTGCTGGGGCTGCCATCCCGCAGCTGTGTGGGCGTGTATCTCTGCCTGTGAACCGCCCCCAGAAAAACAGTAAAGAGGTTTTCTTGCTGCTAGTGGTGTTGCTGCTGCAGTGCTCGCAGCAACTGCTGCCTTCTCCGCTTCAATGCTCCTCGTTAGGCCTTCAGCTTTTCTTCGCTGCTGAAACTGCTGCTGCTGTTGCTGCTGCTGTCGAGGGTACGGCTGCTGTTGGGAAGGTAGATTCTGCTGCTGCTGCTGCTGCTGCTGCTGGTGGTGGTATTGCTGCTGCCCCTGCTGCTCCTCCAGCAGCTGAGTAGGCGCTGGCGGCCCTGCTTCTCTGGAGAGAGCATATGGGTATGTCAGGGGAACCCTCGGGACCCTTCCTGCATACAGCTGTTGCTGCTGCTGCTGCTGCTGTTGTTGTTGGTGGTGGTGCTGCTGCTGCTGCATCTGAAACATTTGTTGCTGCTGAGGATGCTGCCTGTGCGTCACTCGAAACAGATGCGTGGGGCCGTGCTCCGGTAGCCTGCCTGGCATCCACTGGCTTTCATGTTGTTGCTGTTGTTGCTGCTGCTGCTGCTGCTGTAGTTGCGGTTGCTCCTGTTGCTGCATCTGTAGTAGCTGCTGCTGTAGTAGTTGCTGCTGCAGTTGCTGCTGCAGCTGCTGCTGCTGTTGCGGGAACGGCGAATGAATTTCTGTTACAGTAGTAGCAACGAGGCTTCCAATTCTGCTGCTGCTGCTGCTGGGCAGCAGCGTGCAGCAAGAGATGT